AGGAGTTTGAATTCCCTGATTATCTGCTTTACTTGTACTGTATCTGCCCTATTTAACATATATATTTAAATATGTAAATTCATCAAGGAGAAGAAATTCATTGATTTATGTTTGCAAGTAGCGCCCTGATTCTTGAGAATAATGGGTCACTACTTGAAAAGAACAGTGCTTTGAAATAAGAAAGAGAATAGGCCCAAATCTAGCCCCATCAAAGAGAAACAAAAGGGCAGGCCAGCCCTGTTTATGCAGGTTTTCACATGACTTTCCTTTTAAAAGAATGTGGACTGCATCCAAAACAAATAATATTTTGTTAGATGGGAAGACCAAAAGCAAAAGCAAAAAGCAAAAAGGAGGAGGATGGATGATCTTTCTTTAATGTCAAAACTGACATAAACACATCCCCCCCCAACCCTTTTGCTCAAGATAATTTTCTCAACAAGACACAGATTGCTCCAGTCTCTGCATATCAGCCTTTGAAGCAATTTCCTTATTATTAGGAGTGGGGGCAGGGTTTCCTTTGAGGATTTTTACCGCAGTGAAGAGTTCCTCCTTTAAATACTTTCACATGATGGGGGGAATTCCTTGTTCAAAGTACTGTCATCACTGGGGATTTTCAGCCATTTATTGTAGATGAAGGCCTTCCTTAGTTTGATTGTCAATAGTGACTCACCTTGGCCTTATGTGTAGTAGGTACTTAATAAATATTTCATAAATGAATTAAAGAAAATGAATTCATCTGAGCTGTCCAGGGAGGTTTGTAAGGATATTCGCTTTTTAAGGACTGCTGGAAGGAAGTCCCCTCCTGCTTTTTGTTTATCTTACTGAGAGTTTAAATGTGCTTCTCTCTCTTTTTAAAATTGTGTTTTCACTTTTATTGTGAGTTTAACCAACATCAACAAACATGAGAATTCCAATACAGAGAACAGAAAAAGAGAATTGTGCATGGAACAATGAATGACTATTAGCTATGGTTTGTGTCTATTAAGTTTAATACAATAGTTACAAAACTGTCATACTTACATGACTTCTGCTGAAATTCCTCATGTTCTCTTTTGTGTATTGTTTTAATGTTTCATTGATGCTTTTATTCACCTGCTCCCCCATCCCACCCATCTTTCCTATCAACAAAAACATTCTCTTATGACAAATACAAATGGTCAAGCAAAACAGATTCACACACTGGCCATATCTGAAAATGTTAGCCTCATTCTGCGCCCCTACTCAGGCCACTCTCTGCCAGGAAGTGGGAGGTATTCTTCATCAGTTTTCTGAAGACATGATTGGTCATACTAACTACCGAGGTTCTCAATTCCTTCATTATAGAAATTGTTCTCCTGGTGCCAATCATTTACTCTGTATCAGGCTGTACACCTCTTTCCAGCTTTCTCTGAATTCAACCCTTTTGCTGTTTATTATGGTCCAATACCATTTAGTTACATTCATATAGGGAAGGAGAAGGGAATAAGCATTTATGTAGCACCTAGTATATGTCAATCACTATGCTAAGTGCTTGACAAGTATTAACTCATTTGATCCTTAGAACAACTTTGAGAAGTATCACCATTTTATAGTTGAGGAAACTCAGGTTCCCTGCTATAGGCTGTCTGGACAATGCACTTCTCCATTTCCTTGAGCAGTCTCCTACTGGCAGCTGGCTTTGTTTCATCCAATGGCACCGGCAGGATTTTGAAGCCAAAGTGACTTCGAGCCTCTTGGAGGGCCCCATTGTAAGTGCAGACTATCTGGGGGCAGAGTCCTGTCAATCTTCTAGAGCAGTAATCTATCAGAAACCCCTTATGACCCTTGCCAAATTTTGGTTAAGATCCTGTTGGCTTTAGGCCTTTTTAAATTAATGTTGTCAATGGCTTCAAAGGTGCATCTCTGCTTCAAACACCCAAAGGTTTTTTGGACATCTTGGGCAGTCCTGGACTGAGCAAAGGAGCTTACTGGTGTTTTCCTTTGGTTTTCTTGGTTATTGTTTAAATTGGCACCCTTTTAAATCTTAGCAGGGATATTTGTCAGGGGAACTGGACACAGCTAAGACATCACCATCTTAAAAGGAAGTCCAAGTGAGCCTTTTTTGAAAAATGAATGATAACCCAAGGGCTGCAGAGCTTTTAATATGGCTGCCCACCAGTTTTCTTTTAGACCTTCCCATCCATAAGCTGTAGACAGTATATTGAATGTTTACTTAATGAATTTCCTCCCCAGCTTGAAAGGTATACTGTCCATTTCATATTGGTTTTGAAATGTTAATCCCCACAATGCTTCTTTTTCTCAGAGTCCCTCCCAGTGTTTAGATGGTGCCAAGGTAAACAAACAAATTTCACTTTTCAAGCATCAATGCTTAAGTAGCACACATTGAAACCATTTGAGGACTTCCATGCCATCCCACTTGACCTAATCCTTTATGACACTCTGGAGACATCTCAAACTCAACATGTGCAAACCAAACTAATTATCTTTCCCCTAAAACTACTTTCTCTTCCAAACTTCCATATTTTTGTCAGAGGTATCTCTACTCCTCCACTCTCTAAGTTTGTAATGTTGGCATTATACTCCTTTCCTTACCTTCTCCCTTACTTCCCTCAACCCACATAGTTAGTCCATTGCAAACTATTGCCATTTCTATCATCCTAATATCTTTTGCATTTGAGTCCTTTTTTCTAATCACACAGTAAGCATCTTATTTCATGCCTTCACCGCTTCTTAGCTAGACCATTTAAAAGAATTCCAAAATTGGCCTCCCTTTCCAACTTTCACCCTATCCAACCCATCTTTCATGCCTTGAGTACAGTTCTTATCAAGTCATAACCCCTTACTCAATAAATTTCACTGGCTCCCTATTATCTCTAGGATAAAATTTTTTAATTTTTAAATCCCTTCACAACCTAGCCCCATCCTATATTTTCAGCCTCAATATACATTTCTCCTTGTTGGGTAGCTCTAATTCAGTCTGGTCTGGTGGTTCAAGCTTGGCATCAGAACAAAATGAAACACTAGCAGACCATCTTCTTTTTAAAACTATTTCTATCCTTATGTGGTTTGGAGTGCTGAGAACCCCAAAATGGAAAGGTACAGGGGTCTGCCTTGAAAGAATTTGACCACTCAAGGCTTCTTTCAGTCAGAGTAGTGAGGAACTTCAGGTTGCATCTGGTTTAGGTTAATTTTGAGCTCATGGTGGTATATTGTATAAGATGTTAGTCTAAATTTAGTTTCTGCCAAACTGCTTTACAGTTTTCTAAGCAGTTCTTGTAAAAAATAGAGTCCTTTACCTAACAATTTATGTCCTTGGCTTTATAAAACATTGGGCTAATGCTTTCAACTGCTTATTTCTTGCTTATATCATCTGTTCCATTTATCCTCTTTCTTCTTAACCAGTAGCAGATAGTTTTAAAGACTACTCCACTTAAGATCTAGGAATGCTAAGCCTTCTTCATTCATATTTATCATTATTTCCCTTGGGATTCTGGACTTTTCATGCATTGAAATCAAATTAGTTACTATTTTTTCTAGTTCTATGAAACTATTCCATTGGCATAGCACTAAATCTATAAATTATTTTAGGTAGTAATGTCACTTTTATTATAGTGACTCAGTCCAAACAGGAGCTGAGCTGTGAATATTTTTTAAATTGTTTCTGTCCCTGTTTCTGTAAAAAAGTATTTATATAAATCTTGTATGTGTCTTGGTAGGTTAAAGACGGGCTCTTCTAAGCCTATATTTTTAGGAGTTTTAAAATAAGTGAGTTTCATATTTTGTTAAAGGCAGCATTTTGTTAAAGGTTATGTACCTTTTGAAATAACTGTGTGGTTTTTGTAATCTTTGTCATTTATATGATTATAAGATTAATTGTGCTAATTGTTTCCCCAGTGTTGACTCATCTCTGGGGTGTTTCCAACTTGATGATAGTAAATTATTTTCATGTATGTTATTTTAGTCTCCTCTACCTTTCTGTATAGGTATGTGTGTAAAATAATTTGTGCATGCATTTAATGGAAGAAAACACAAACAATATTATAACATTAATTACCTGTTGGGATAGAACATAGAGAATGGGACTGGTGATTTTTTATAGAGTTTCTTGTGCAGATCATTGGAAAACATCTTCATTAAGGGTGCGTTCAAGGTGAGATTTGATCAGAGTCTCTTTGACTTAACCCTGTTACCTACTTTTTCATTAGTTCAACATGTTTGAAATTGTAGTCATCACTTGGGTACTGGCACATTGGAACAAAATACCACATTGCTGTCAATAAATAACTTAAAATGGTGATAGACATAAGAAAAAATTTTTATTTCAATACTTTAAGAAGATGTGAGTTTATTGATGATGGTTCTGCATCTACCAGTTCCGATCATCAACATTTAGCAGTTACTAGATGAACTTTCAAAATGAAAATAGCCACAAAATTTCATCACTTTGTAGCCAAACTATCTATTTATGTATCTTTTATCTATCATCTATTATCTTTTATCTATTGATCTATCTGTTATCATCTGTATTTATCAATCACCCATATCTTCTATCTACCATCTATTTTATCTATCATCTCTTATCTTCTGTCATTTATCTATCATCTTTTGTTATCTGTATTATGCTTTCTTTTTTCCCCCCCTTCAAGTTAAGTGTGAGTCATATATTAAGGATTTCTGTACTATGTTTTTTTCAGTTGTGCCTGACTCTTCATGACCTCATTTGGGGTTTTCTTGGTGAAGATACTGGAGTGGTTTGCCATTTCCTTCTCCAGCTCATTTTATGGATGAGAAAACTGAGGCAAACAGGGTAAAGTGACTTGCCCAGGGTCACACAGCTAATAAGTGTCTGAAGCCAGATTTGGACTCATGAAGATGAGCCTTCTTGACTCTTGGCCCTGTGTTTTATCTACTGTACCACCTAGCTGCCTATCCTATGTTTAGTATATCTTTAAAATTACATTTGTAACTGAAAGCCATTTATCTCATTCTCTCTCTTTTTATTTTTGTACCTTTCTCCCCAGGTTGGCCCTCATTCCATGATGTGATAAATTCGGATGCAATTACATTCACTGATGACTTTTCCCATGGGATGCATAGGGTTGAAACAAGCTGCTCTCAGGTCAGTTAACAACACGTGAAATTCATTGACTGCAAAATACAGCTTTTACCTATGCATTGGGAAATGCACCCAAGACTTGTGATTGTGTCAAGTCAAGTTACCAAAGCCAAGTGATCATTTACAAGAATGATGGATGAGCAGCTTAATAAAAGTGGGGGGGGGGGGGTGGTGGCAAGGAGGAAGGAGGAAGGAGGGGAGGAAGATCCACTTCACTTACCTCAGACCTCAAGGAGTGAACTGTCCTTAAGGCATCTGAGGATCCCTAATACATCCTTACTTGACCTCATGTGGGAAATACTGTTCCCTCTCAGCCTTATCCACTTCCTAATACTTGGGCACAATGCCTCTTTTAGAAATATTCCATCCTCTGCACACCAGTCTCTGAAGCCCTCAAAAACAGGCTTAATCTAAGTGTGTGTTTGGTTCTCCTCACCCTCTCCTTTTGTGCCTCCATTCTTGGTCCATTCATAATGTAATTTACCCCATCAATTACTATTTCTAGTGTAAAAGTATACTCCCCTCCCTTTCAGGATGAATAATAATTGGGATAGCAAAACCAGTACTGACCATTGGAACTTGTAGGGCTTTATGATTAGAAAAAAAATACCTAATGTTCTCATTTGATGTTTGCAGCAACCTTATTAGGTAGTAAATATGTTACAATAAAATTTGCATTCCATATCTGACAAAGCTGCTGTGGTGAAGCACTTTGTACACCTTAAAGGGGGCATATTCAGAAATGTTGCATATCATGTCCTCATCTTTGTTATTGGTATTAGCATAATTTCATTCTTCTCATCTTTATTGATGGGGGGGTTCAGACAGAAATGCTCTTGAGACAAATTGCTGTCCTACTATTATGTGCTTTTTGTAGTTGAAAAAAAGCATTAGGACATAAGCTTATAATCTGTAGCTTCTGGAAAGCATCCTTTGGTACAATTCCAGTAGCAGCCAAGATAAAAGGGGTGATATAGTTGTCATCCTATTCCACATGGTTCTGGTTTCATCTAGTAGGTCTCTATATTTTGAAGGCTTTTCATTCTGTGTAGTTTAGAGAATATGAGTATTTGTTATGGAGACATCTACTGAAACATTTTTTCTTAAGTTTTAATAAATCAGTTTTACATAGTGTAGGCCAGAGGTATCAGACTCCAGCTGGTAAAACTCCTGTGTGAGACCTGAACCAGATTAAAATGTAGACATACAATATAACACAGATAATGTTAATTTATAGTTTTCTAAGTCAACATGTGGCCAGCAGGAATTCTGAGCCTGATACCATTGTTTTTTGTGAATGTAGACAACATCTCATTCTCTGATAATGATTCAGTTCCAATGCAATTAGTCTGTTGAGTCGTCTAGTATATTTGAGGCCAGTATGAGGTTTTGTTGCTTCTCAGTCTGTGAAGGGACCTGAAAGCTTTGGACCTGAAAGGCATTTATTAGTAGATGGTAAATTTTTATAGTTTGCAAGTGATATTTCACAGCTTTGACTTTTTCTCTGCATAATCTACCCTAATCATTGCACAAGGGTCCCGAAGGGAAAGAAACCCTGATGGCAATGACTGGGTGCTGACATGGGATCATAAACCCCTGTTTCCAAAAGCAAATCCACACAACCTTGCAATTCGTTATTGTTGTTGCTGTTATTATTATTGTTACCCCATTTTACAGATGAGGAAACAGAGCCTCAGAGTTGTTAAGTGAATTTCTCAAGGTCATATGGCCAGTAAGAGACAGAGTCAGTATTATACCTTGCTCTCCTGACATACAGACTAATGCAACCTCATGCCATATTAACAACATAGGGTCAGAACTGGCAACGCTGAACCACAAGAAGAGATTTGTAGGAATTTTGAGTGTGTGTGTGTGTGTGTGTGTGTGTGTGTGTGTGTGTGTGTGTTGGACCTCCTTGGCAGGCTGGCAAAGTCATATAGTGAATGTTTTTAAATACATAAGATTACAAAAGAATCGATTATATTGAAATATTATATATACATACATACATATATACATACATATACACATATATATATGTACACACACATATACACACACACACATATAATTTGGTGAGGCAATTGGAATCAAGTGACTTGCCTAGGGTCACACAACTAGTGTCAAGTGTTTGAGGCTGGATTTGAACTCAGGTCCTCCTGACTCCAGGGCTGGTGCTAAAATAAATAAATAAATATATATATATATATATACACACACACACACACATATATATATGTGTATATATATGTATATATATATGTATACACACACACACACATATATACATATATATATATGTTTTTTGTTCTAGGCAATAGGGTTAAGTGACTTCCCCAGGGTCACACAGCTAGTAAGTGTTATGTGTCTGAGGCCAGATTTGAACTCAGGTCTTCCTGAATCCAGGGCTGGTGCTCTATCCACTGCACAACCTAGCTGTCCCCTAAAATATATATATATTCTTAAAGTTAACAGTCCTCACAATAAGAACCCCTAATAGGCAAAACATAACAACTTTAAAATACTGGAAGGGCCATCAGGATTTATTATTTTTATCATCATCATCATTATTATATCGTTCTTGATTATTGTTGTCATCATCATAGTTATTATTCTTATTAATAGTAACATCACATAATGAATCAATTAATTGATTGGTCAACAAGCATTTATTAAGTGATTGCTATGTGCCAGGCACTGTGCGAGGTTTCAGCCATCCAAATAAAAAGAATGAAAGAATCTCTATTCACAAGGAATTTACATTCTGTTGGATAAACAGGATTAAAATTCTACCTCTGACACATACATACTATCTGTGTAACCATGGGAAAGTCACTTAACCACCTGGTGTCATAAGCAACTTCATTAGACTGAAAGTTATAGATAAATTGCAGATCTATTTTGATGGAGGGAGTTTTTACATCAGTGAAATTCCAGTTTTGAACAACAATGAAAAAAAAAAAAAGGACTTAACTCCAAAAAAGCCTGCAACATGTCTGCCTCTCAAACACCTTCCCCAGCCCCTCCCCCCACAAAAAATACAATTTTAATAAGAAAAATTTTAGATGAGCAGTAAAAGAGAACTTTAAGCTATTATAAACTAAACTAAGTTCCTGGGGAAAATGTGAGAACCTCTTTCTAGTGAAAATGCTATGTTTTAGTTGTGATATTTTAACTGTGGTTTTTTCATGGAGAAGGAAAAAATAGAATTGATAACCTTTCAAGGTTCCTTTCCATTCAGTGATCTTAAGCTCAGCTTCACTCCATGAACTTTTCTGATATCTTTACTCAGAGCATACTCATGAAGCCTAGCAAATCAACCCAAGAGAAGTTATATTTTTTTAAATTGCAAAAATGATATGGAAATTATAATTCTGAAATATATTGTTTTTTTTCAAATGCTTATAATTTTAGTTTCCAGAGCCATGAAGAAGAACAGTGATTGGACTACTTTCGAAGACCAATCACTCTCTCCTTACCACATATATATATATATATATATATATATATATATATATATATACACACACACACACACACACACACATGTATATATATATGTATATACACATACACACATACATATATATGTACATACATACATACAAATATATATACACACAAATATATATATACAAATGTATATATACAAAATATATATATATAAATTAAACATCATACTGACCCATCTTTCCAAATACCAGTTGTGAATAAGTAAATTTTCTCAAATAAGATCTTTATTTTTCAACATTTGATTTAATAACCATTAAAACATAAATTTTACTGAGCAACAAGAGCATTGTGTTTGAAATCGTGTTTTGAAACTTGTCAGTTTCAGAATATGTTGCAGCCCGTAATCTTCCCCTTTATGCGAGGGAAATACTAATTATTTTAAGAAACTTTTTTTTAAAAGGGCAAGTATTATTTATTGAGATTAATTATTATACAAATGCAAGCCATAGTTAGTGAAATTTGATTTTTTAAGAAGTCTGGCTAAAAGCTGTGATTACTAAAAGGGTCAGCTAATTCTTCGTGTTTATTTAATACCTTCAGGTTTACAAAAAGTGCTTTACGTGTGTTATCTCATTTGATCCTCACAATAATCCTGTGAAGTAGGTACTATAGGTAATATTATTGCTGCTGTTATTGTTTTTATTGTTGGAAAACTGGATGGTGCAATGGATAGAATCAGGAAGACTTGGGTTCAAATATAGCCTTAGATAATTAATAGCTGCGTGATCCTGGGCAAGTTAAATTCTGTCTGCCTCAGTTTCCTCTTCTATAAAATTGAGGTCATACTAGCATCCACTTTCCAGGGTTGGCGTGAGAATAAAATGAGATAATATTTGTAAAGCACTTTGCAAACTTTAAATTGCTATATTTATACCAACAATTGTTGTTGTTGTTATTGTTATCATTATTAGGCAGCTAGATGATTCAGTAGACACAGCACTGGACCTGGAATCAAAATAAACCTGAGTTCAAATCCACCTTTAGGCACTTATAACTGTGTGACCCTGGGCAAGTAGCTTAACCTCTGCCTGTTTCAGTTTCTTCATTTGTACAGTGGGAGCACTCCTAGGGTGGCTGTGAAGATAAAATGAGATAGCATATAAATCACTTTGTAAACCTTAAAATGCCATATGAACACTATCTATCTATCTATCTATCTATCTATCTATCTATCTATCTATCTA